AAAAAATATGAACTGATCTCATTTGCCACAGTGTCCTGATTTAATCCTGAGCGCCTGAGGACAAAAATATTCAACATTGACGTGTTAAAACAAAGCAGGAGAGCAACCAGAGAGGACGCAAAGGGCCGATTGTAGTTGTGACTTCTTAATGGATGTGTTTGTGTGACATAAATAAAGATTTTTTTTCTCTTATATATATTGAAAGTATAGGCTGAGACAACATGCCCTCTGTCGTGTGTCACATGAGCATCTCAGAATCCACTCATTTTTCTGTCACTTTGGCACAACAGTTTCCACAGAGGCCTACAGTGAGCAGCCCCCTTTTTCTGGAGCAGAATGGCTGCACATGGCGCTGAAGGCACCGCTTTATGTCCAAGTGCCTGGTTACAGCGTTGCACTAGTTTGCTCACACAAGAGAGGGGGCACAAGAGAAACACTAAACGTCATGCAGTGCGGTCAGAGAGTAAACAGTGTCGGGATTGTAATCTCTTTTTGGGTAGAAAATAGGGCTGTTGTGTCTTTAAGAGGGGCTGCTGGTCCCTCATCGCAGCTGCTGGCGTGTGTGTGTGTGCGTGTGTGTATGTGTGTGTGTGTGTGACATAGAGGACAGCGGAGATTCATTACTTAAGCAGTACAATGGACATTTATCACCCCGTGGTGTTATTCAAATTCAGTACCAAGCGAGGACCTTCTCCACTCCTCTCTCCGCCTTGCGTCGCGGCCGCAGCGTCTCATTGTTGGAGCGGCGCAAAGAAAAAGCCAGGAGGGCAGAGAGACATGCATCCAGTCAGTCAGTCCGGGAGACACGTAAAGGGAAGGATGGGAGAGGAGAAGCAGGAGCGTCTCGTCCGGAGTGTAACGAAGCCTGGTGCTCTCCTGCTCCGCAGCTTCTTCTTCTTCTTCTTCTTCTTCTTTTTGTCACCATCCGACGCTGCTCGCTGGGGGGCATTTGGAGCAGAGAGATCCGACAGAACGCGAGTCGTGGGAACTGAACCAAGGACGCACCACCACCGGGAAATAAGGGGTTTCCTATTTTTTTAAAATAATATTATTATTTTATCTCTTTTTTTGGTGAAAATGTTCGATTCCATCAGCAGCAGCTTTCAAACAGCAGAGGAGAAACACTGACGCTCCAAGTGCTTGTATTCAAATAGGAGGGGATTTTTTTCCTTTTCTTTTTTTAAAATTTAACATCCGTGGAAAGCCATTGTGCATCTTGAGGCACCAGAACTGAAGAGTCTTCCCCTAAATCGATGACACTACACAGGTGCAGAAATGGCGTGCTTTTATTTTTTTTATTTTTTTTTTGCTGGCGGACTTTAAGATGAAATAAAGTCCAGATTAGCTGCTTTATTCCTCTTTTTCTTTTTTAAACACACTCTTCTTGAGACACTTTAAAAGTGAGACTGAACCAAAAGGAGATGACATTTTACCCCAAACTGCAACGGCCATTCAGCCATCTTAAGGGGCCTAGAGAGAGATGGAGAGACTAACTTTACAACTAGCAACCGGTAAAAGACGCGGAGAAGAGACTGTAGCGTGAACCAGAAAGTAGGATGCGTTTATGTGAGGATGCTTTAAAAGTCACAGGCTGGTTGTGGCTGCAACAATGCCTCCTTTGCATTATCAAACACTTGCAAAAAAAAAAAGAAAAAAAAAGGATGGGCTTTCTTCCAATGCGGTGATCAACAGAGGAGATGAGTTCCTATCGCTGACATTCAATCAGAAGAGTTCAAGGATTTGGGGAGGGGGAGGAGGGAAGTTGCACTAAATATATAAATATATATTTATATATATGTGGAGGTCTAGTTTCCTGCTGCAACAGCTCAGTGTTGCACACAGTGAGAGAGCTGCTGTTTCAAAAGGAAAGGCGAATCCAGGAGGCAGTGCTGAGGCAGTGAGGATGTCAAAAATAATGCACTATAGTGGGAAAAGGAAGGAGGAAGAAGAAAAAACCCAACAGTAGTGGGTGTGAGGAGACGCAGGCAGTAAACTGTCAAAGGGCATTTAGGCAGCAGCCGTATAGCAGGTGCACCCAGGGGCCTGTACCACCACTGCCCCCCTGCACGTTGCTGATTCAAACATTCAAATGCTTAATTTCTTTCCCTTTTCACTTTGCCAGAAGGACATACAGAGTCTTTAGCGACTGATTGTCCAAACGCAATTCTTGAGTAAACTCAAATTCAACCCCCAAGAATTGTGTATGGACATCTGTTGCTGCAGACTCACATTCATCACTGCTGTCTTTGGCCGAGCGCCACATCGAGATTGTGGGGCCTCCAAAAAAAAAAAAAAAACGCACAAAGAGGGGGATAGGAAGGCCTTTTTAAGTCTTCGTTTTTTGTTTTGTAACTGTCTCGTTTCAGGTAAGATACAAATCGACAATTATGCATGATATGGAGAGAGAGAGAGAGAGAGAGAGAGAGAGAGAGAGAGAGAGAGAGAGAATAAAAGAGGACGCGGGGCCAATAAAAGTGGAGGAAACCTGAATCCGGCTCGTGTAATGTGTTTTTCGGGGTGTGCGTTGTGCTCGGCCCGATTGGTATTTACACTTTGTCGAAGATCTAATCAAGACTGTTTGTTTTAAAAGGCACATATCGACTGGAGGCATTGATGTATCGACTGTGTTCGGCAAATAGTAGAAAGCAGAGAGTTGAGTGTTCCCAGACTGAGGCCTGCATGCTGCAGAGATGCACGTTGTGGATGAAAAAAAACACACACACACAAAAAAACACACACAAAACTGGAGCATCAGATGCGTAAAGTAGCATCAAAAATAAACAGAAATAATTATATTAAAATGCAAAAAAAAAAGTTTGGTTAAAAGCTACGTTTGACTGGAGATTAAAAATAAATAAATACAAGCTTAAAAAATCTCTAATCATTTGTTAATACACTGAGAGCAGATTTACAGCCTGTTAGGGATCATCTGCACAAAGGCTCTTCAGCTGCATTTATCAGGAGAAAATGTTGCTTCTAATGCAAAAAATCAAAGGCAGCTTACTGAATTTAAAGGTGGAAGAGTATTAAAAGAACAAAAGAGAAGAAAAAAAGAAAACGTGGCCTGATGATTGATGCTGCCAAATCTGTGGAGCCAAACAGCGTCACTGATAAATCACGTGGGGACACTTATTGGCTCATTAGATCATTTTTCTTTTGTTTATTTAAAAGAGAAATAATTTTAAAATATCTTTATTTTTCTGTTTAGTAATAAATCAAACAATTCCTTTAAATATATAAACAATTAAACAGTTTAACTAATATAATAAATTAAAATATAATCTAATAAATATACTTTTTTTTAAAGTAGTGCAAAATAAACTCACATAAATCACTTTATTTCTGCGTTTTCTTCGTTTTAAATGTGTTTAAAATGTGTTCCTGTTTGGTTGCCAGTTGCACTCACTAATTAATTCGAGACACACACACACTCTCTCACACACACTCACACACACACAAATGGCCAACGTAGTGCAAAATAAACTCACATAAATCACTTTATTTCTGCGTTTTCTTCGTTTTAAATGTGTTTAAAAATGTGTTCCTGTTTGGTTGCCAGTTGCACTCACTAATTAATTCGAGACACACACACACTCTCTCACACACTCACACACACACACACAAATGGCCAACGTGTGTATTGTTGTTGAACATTAAAGGCTAACCTCTCCTAATTCCTGGGGATTAGTGCATCTTGTTTGCTCTTGCAGAAACGCTTCTGTGTCCAACGTGGATCGTTTCTTCTTCTTCTGCTTTATTTAGACTTATTTTACAGAATAATCGAAGCCTCGAAATTACAACGTAGTACTTGAAGATTTTTTTTATTTTTTTATTTTTTTTGAACGAATGCATGGTGTGCACACACGTGGGTTTTTTCCTTTAACAGCTACAACTGGAGTGTTTTTGCATTAAAATCTTATATTTTAATAATAATCAGCAGGTTGTGGTGCTGAGCAGGGACCAGTCTGACTACTGGGAGGTTTTATTTGTGGCTATTGGTGCTAAATAAATAACCTGTTTTTAAGGCTTTTTTCACAAATCACACAAACAGCTCAGTTTTCACAAGTGTGTGCACCTTGCTGTGTGTGTTTGTAGCTTCAGTATTTTGCTCACATACATGCTTTAAATCTGGATTCTTTGCAGGAAACTATAGGAGCCTGTAGGTGCAACAGGAACACACCACCCTAAGGATTGTTGTTTTTTTTTTTAAGGATGAAAAATAAAAATAAAAATCACTTTATATAGCAAATAATAGCAGATTACACCAAAAAATGCAGAAAAAGGTTAAATTATTATGATTTTGATAACAATCTAAACATATTTATATATATTCTTTGACACAAGGATGAAGTTTTGCTCTTTTTTATGAAATTATTTCACGTTACCAGCTCTGTAGGCTAAAGATAATTCAGTCTCATAATGCAAGAGTTTATTTTTCTTGTTTACTTTATGTTTGTTTACCTCCGGCTGAAGCTTTTTTATTTTTTTATTTTTTAATTCCCACCGTAGTGACTTGAGCTGTGCACGTCCTGGTTCTGATGGGATGATGCAGGTCCAGCATCGTCTCCTGTTGAGCAGCCATCAGTCAGTCAGTGTGCAGGCTTCAGGCCCACAGAGCAGTCCAGACCTGCAGCAGTTAGACATGCACATGCGTTCTGGTTCTGGTGAATAACAAGAGAAAGTGAGAGAGAATTAAAAATAATAAAATAAAATAAAAAGTGGAAGCTGATTTGGAATTATGGGAATTTTATGCACACAAACAACAAAATATTTATATTTAAAATTATAAGCTTTAAATATTTCCAGAACCTGCACTAACTTTGCAATCTTTGTTTTTCTTAATATTTAATCCAAATAAATAGAAAAAAAGCACCATTTTCTTTAATAACACCAGCAGACTCCCTGTAGAAGCAGAACCATGTTTGTGACCATCTCCTCCTCACCCAGAGCCTCTCCAGCCTCCTCGGCCTGCCCTGGCTGACACAGAGCTACATTTTCTCCTCTCTCACCCCCTCACAGCCTCATTAGCATTTCCTTTCTACCGGCCATTATAGGCCGGTTTCCCGTTGCAAATCGGACTCCACAACCGAGAAAAGGTTTTAGGTCGCCCCGGGCGTTCAGGGGAGGGCAGCCCGGAGGCTAGACCTCGACCTCCCGCAGTGGTCCTGTAGTTCACACCCCACCCACCACCACACACACACACACACACGTATATATATATATGTACATCCATCCAGCCTCCTCCTGCTCCTCTTATGAATATTCCAGCTGAGCGTGGCTATAGGAAGCTAAAATCTCCCCCAAGTCGTCTCCAATCAGCCTAAAACTGCAGGGAGATCTCACAACTGGGTTTAAATCGATCATATAAACTATCAGCACGAATTATGGAAGCGTGATGTAAAATCCTAATTGTGGAAAGAAAGAAAAAAAAAAGGCGTTTGGAGTTTGGAGAGGCCCCTGTGCGCGCCGCAGGGCGGGATGGAGCCTCACTGGGTGTTTATGGGACACAGTCCAGAGGTTTTTGCAGTTTTAAACCACTTTTAAACCACAAAACGAGCACAGTGACGGCACTTAACAATCAGAATAAAAAATATATTTATGGCATTTGTATTTGTAAATTTAAGAGGAGAGAATTTACGAATGATTTCCCAAAAATAAAAAGAATTTCTAAAAATATCTCATCACACATATGGAACAAAAACAGGAATAAAATCGCAACGAACGCATTTAGTTCAAATATTTTCAAAATACACTCCAGCAAAAAATACAATTATGCCACAACACAAATATGATATAAAAAGTCTTTTTTATTTGCATTTTACGGGAAAAAAATACAAAAAAATTTAAATAAAAAAGCGTGAATCACACAGGCCAAGCAAAGCACTTAGAAGTAAACTATTAACATTTAATAAACGGGTTCAAAAGCTGCTTGTAAAGAGATATAAAGACATTTAAGGGTTTATCAAGATGTTTCTCAATTACAGTTAAATCTGTTTCTGTACAAACAGATGATAAATAACCAATATGTAGTTAAATTAAATATTTCTGCATGAGTTTTAATTGTTGGCATGTTAATAAAAGCCTAAAATGTCCTTATATCTCCTCACAGCAACATCATGGTGAATTATGAACACTTTATTAAATGCTAATGTACAGGCTGGTTACAGTTAAAGTGTTTTCTTGTTTATTCTGTTTAACTGAAGCTCGTGTTAAAGCTCAAAATAGAGAAATTGTGTCTCATGCTGGAGCTACAGTTGCAGGGAAGTGAAGGCAGACACACTAACTACACCTGTGAGCTGCTCAGTACAAGCAGAGCTTCCCCTTAAATCAGTTTGATTTATTATTATTTTAAAAAAAAAGAAAAAGAAGAGTCCACAGAATTCCCATCTCACAGCTTCCACATTTTTCACGGTGACCATCTCTGGATTCCCCCTCATTCCTGTGGACCAGCATCCCAGTGTGGGGTGACACATCCTCAGCATCCAATGGGGTCACGTGTTACTGGGATGTAGAGGAGGTGGAGGCGGGGGGGAGAGAGAGAGGATGTGGAGGAAAAAGGCAGGAACTGTTACAGACGTGTGCTCCTCATTCATCCCTTTATCCTCCGTGAAGAGTGGAAATAAACACCACGTTGTCTTGGTCTTGCAGTTGATATTCCAGCTCCCCCTGAGGTTCAGGAAATAAGCCAAAGGAGAAATATCTGCGTTGATTATTAATACGGATGCGTGTTCCACTCCTGCGCTTCAATTGGTACCAATCAATGGCAAACTTTTTTTTTTCTTCATTTCATTTACATCCTGTGTTGAGTCCTGTAATTGAATCAATTCATTCAGACTGAAGCGTTCAGACCAAGCGTGTGTGTGTGTGTGTGTGTGTGTGTGTGCATGTAAATACGGATACGAGACCCCAAGGACAAACTTGTCTCGCCGCCGCTTCCACATTATATGAAACATTAACTGAGTCAGAGAAAATGAACGGCCTCGCTATCGGAGAACGCACAGGTTCCCGCTCAAAACACTTTTTTCTGATTTACACACAGGAGGCACGTCGGGCATCTGCATGATCTCTAATCATTTAACAGAGCATCCTGAACAGAGACGGTTAAAATATATGTCACACACACACACACACACACACAGCATCTGACAGTGAACGTGGCTCCCAGTGCTCACCATTAGCTCCCAGTCTGCATCATTGATAAGCACCAGGATTCCAGGCCTCCTGTGGGAAAACACACCGTTTTCAGTCAGACGCGTCTCCCAAAGGCAGCACAGAGTCGTGTAAAAGGTACAAACAGGTAGATTAGAAACACCAACACATCCTATATCTAGTTTAAATTTTTTTTAAAAATCTAACAATTAATTCAAGCTGTTTTAAAATACAAAAACACAATTATTAGTAGAAGTGTGACGACAAAAATGGAAATTATTTGCAATAAAATGAAAATTTGCTGGTGATCCTCAAAATTTCAAGCATTAGATTTCATTTTTTTCCCCCTCTTTTAAATTTAAATCTGTCAAATTAAACACATTAAATAGTCAATTATCAGTTAATACAGTTTTTTTTTTTTATGAATAATTCCCAACTACAGTTTAGGCTTAAACGTTCTGGGGGAGGTGAACAGAGGGGAGAGGAGGAGGAGGAGGAGGAAGAGGGGGACACGGTAATTTGTTTGAAACAGTCTGACAAACCTTACAAATCCCATTAATGTAATTTACATTTAAAAAGCAATGAATACACCTGAAAATAAACACTGTGTTCAGAAGTCTTTTCAGCCCTTATTTAAAAAAAAAAAAAGTTTTTAATCGCATTTAATTGTAAAAATGCAACCAGGAAGAATTTAGAAAATCTAATCTGGTGGTTTGTGTATTAAAATGAGATGCTGCCTGTGAGGATGTGTGTGTTCTGTTCACATTAGAGCTCATATCAGATCACAAATAGGAGCTTTTCCTTTTGCTGCTAATGTGTATTTATTTTTATTTGCAAATGTGCACAAAACAATTCTGTCCAACAAGCAGCGAAAGTCGTGACGGTTTCCTCACGAGACACGTGAGTGGCCGAAGCAGAAAGAGTGCAGAGAAAAATGAAAAAAAAGAAACTGTCACTGGAAATTAATGGGGTCCCAAAAATAACATACTAAAGAGCATAATGGAGATAATGGGGGAGGGCTACAACGGGCACCTATGGGTGAACTCTTAAACAGATGCTGGTGTGTTTCTTTCTCTTAAAAAAAAAAAGAAAAAAAAGAGGTAACTTTAAGTCATGTGGGTGATGAGATATCGCCCGGAGCAGATATGCCTCTCAGTGTAGATGCACTATGACGTCAATGGGAAAGGGCAACGCGAGAGGAACCTGTGAGAACAAACATGCACCCAAAAAAAAAAAAAAGAAAAGAAAGCGAGGCTGCTGCAGCGAGAAAGAACAAAAGAGCAGAAGACAAGGTAAAGACTGTAAACTAAATCACGTCCTTTTAAACAGATAATGAAGCTACACCTTGATGATGGTTTGCTCAAAACAAAACCCAAAAAAAAAAAAACACACACAGTGCCTGCTGCCAACATAAAGTACACACAAACACACACACACACACACATCTAATCTATAAGGTTTATAGGTACCCCAGCTTTTTCTCCATTCATTGGGTAGATGGTGCTATAAATAGTCCTGCACAAAGGCAGCTGTAAAAGTCAGCCAGTCCTATAAGGCTGCTGTGAGCCCTGGACCCACACACAGACATACAAATGTGGGAACACACACGCTCACACACACACACTTGCACACAGGTAATCATCTTACTGAAACCTATAACCTGAAGGCTAGACTGTTTTTTTTTTTTTCTCCTCACAGCATTTCAGCAGTTTTAACCGAAAGGGGGGAAAATGCTTCACACCACACAGAGCCGCTCTTATGGAGCAGTTCTGATCCAACGTTACATTCGTTACGGCGGCGGCGGAACCTCTGACATGTTCTTTTAGGTTACATCTCGTCGGACGGAGTGTGCGTCACTCACACGGAGTCGCCCTGGACGAAGAGCTCGGGTCGTTCCTTCAGCAGGTTCCTCTGGATCCAAACCAGCAGCTGCTTCATGTCCCCTAGAAAACACACACACACAGACACAGACAGACACACACACACACGGATCCAGGATGTTACACCGACCAGCACCGACATCCAGAACTCCAACCACAACCACTACCTGCCGAACCCCAATCTCACTAAAATGTAATGAGAATTTGTTTTTTTGGGCTGGG